AGTAGAATTGTATGTTTTTGATTTACTCTTGCTATCGGAATCTTTCTTGGGTTGATAAGACTGCTTGATTATGTGTTTTCTTGGTTGAGATTAGGGTTTCTCCTTTTCGGTTAAGGGTATACATATAATCCGAGCTTTCTGTGATTCTTTGTTCCTCTGTTTGTGGTTGTTTATTCTTCCATTATCAAACCAAATTTAAGGGAGCTTTCCGTAAGGATTGTGTTATTCTTTGTTAGTGTTGATTCGCGTGTATCCAATCTGTGGTAGAAATAGGTAGCTTTCTCTAGTGAGTTTTGCTTTGAAGGGCTATTTATTGTGTTCTCTAGTTTTGTGTAATGTGTGTGTACTAACGAAGTTGTGCTTTTGTTTCCAGATGATGATGCAAATCTACGCAAGGACTCTTTCAGAAAAGACCATATCCCTTGACGTTGTAAGCTCCGACACCATCAATAATGTCAAGGCAAAGATCCAAGACAAAGAAGGGATTCCACTCGACCAGCAAAGACTCATCTTTTCCGGTAAACTGCTAGAGGACGGGCGTACCTTGGCGGATTACAACATTCAGAAGGACTCAACCCTCCACTTGACTCTCAGGTTAAGAGGTGGTATGCAGATCTTTGTTAAGACTCTTACATGCAAGACCATAATTCTTGAGGTCGAAAGCTCCGACACAATTGACAACGTCAAGGTCAAGATTCAAGACAAAGAAGTAATCCCTCCGGACCAGCAGAGGTTGATTTTTGCCGGTAAACAGCTCGAGGATGGCCGTATTTTAGCGGATTACAACATCCAGAAGGAATCAACCCTTCACCTTGTCCTTCGTTTACGCGGTGGAATGCAAATCTTTGTGAAAACTCTCACGGGTAAAACCATTACCCTAGAAGTTGAGAGCTCAGACACAATCGATAACGTCAAGGCAAAGATTCAAGACAAAGAAGGTATTCCTCCGGACCAGCAGAGGTTGATCTTTGCCGGTAAACAGCTCGAGGATGGCCGTACTCTTGCGGATTACAATATCCAGAAGGAATCAACCCTTCACCTTGTCCTTTGTTTACGCGGTGGAATGTAGATATTTGTGAAAACACTCACTGGTAAAACCATTACCCTAGAAGTTGAGAGCTCAGACACTATTGACAACGTCAAGGCAAAGATTCAAGATAAGGAAGGGATCCCTCCAGACCAACAGTGACTCATCTTCGCTGGTAAACAGCTTGAGGATGGTCGAACGCTTGCAGATTACAACATCCAGAAGAAATCAACTTTGCATCTGGTGCTTCGTATGAGAGGTGGTATGCAGTTAGTCGTCAAGACCCTTACCGGCAAAACCATAACTTTGGAAGTTGAGAGCTCAGACACCATTGACAATGTGAAGACAAAGATTCAAGACAAAGAAGGAATCCCTCCGGACCAACAAAGGCTAATCTTTGCCGGAAAACAACTTGAGGATAGTCTAACGCTTGCGGATTACAACATCCAGAAAGAATCAACCCTGCATTTGGTGCTTCGTCTGAGAGGTGGTATGCAGATATTTGTCAAGACACTTACCGGTAAAACTATCACTCTTGAAGTCGAAAGCTCTGATACGATTGACAATGTTAAAGCTAAGATTCAAGACAAAGAAGGAATCCCTCCGGACCAACAGAGACTCATCTTCGCTGGCAAACAGCTCGAGGATGGTCGCACTCTTGCGGATTACAACATCCAAAAGGAGTCAACTTTAAGGAAGGGATCCCAACGGACCAGCAGAGACTCATCTTCGCTAGCAAACAGCTTGAGGATGGTCGGACATTAGCGGACTACAACATTCAGAAAGAGTCAACTCTTAACCTTGTTCTGGGGTGGAACCTTCTGAACAAGCCGGTCAATGGTGGCTCGAACATTGATCACCACTTTATTAAGTCTTTACTCATTAGTGCTTTGGTTTTTTCTTTTCCTATCATGTTGACTTTTGATGGATCATAGGTTATTACCAATTTGACTTCAAAGTCTTCGCAGTAACAATTCAAGTTCTTTTTCTTCTTTTGGTTAAAAAACTTAATATACAAAATTGGGAATTTTCCATACACCCATTTATAATTGTTCACACCACCGGACTTCACAAAATCGCCTCTTTAGTTCAACAAGTTTAACTAAAAAAAAAAATTATAATCGGAACAAAACTAGTGGTTCTAATCAAAACAGTTAAAGAATAAAACAAGAATTGTTCTAGAGAAATCAATTAATATTTTTTGGAAGCCAAACAAGGCAGTTTAGGCTTCATCACACCATAAGATTCTCCTCTAACATTGATGCATTCAGCAGAAGGATGATCATGACGAGATGATTTATGATAT